GGGTTGGACCACGCTGAGATATGCGTAGCCAACCATTTAGCCTTCATGGAAGCAAAAGCTAATAGGCCGTATGCCCACATGCAACTACAAAGACATGATACTTTGCCTTTGTGGTTGATGGATGTCCATCTCTCAGTGACCCGTAAAAGCAAGTATCCACTTCCAAATGTGTTAAATGAGTAATAATTATCTTCTCAAATTATTATAGGGTGAATTTTTTTAAAAAAAATATATTTTTTTATTTTTTGATTATTTATAAAATTCTTTCTGATTTGATGATTTATTATATATCATTTTCCTCTGAATCGATCCATGAATCGGTCCAGTTATAATATTTTTATACTATATTATAATAATTTTAATAATTAAAAATATAATATAATATAATATAAAAGTATTATAATATATTATAATATTTTTATATAAATTTTATAAAAATATGATAAATTAAGTTCTGATGCTTTTAACCTACTAAGAAAACACTATAACATAACATGGAAACACTATAACATAATACAAAAACACTACGACATAATATGTTGTATAAATTTTATAAAAATATTAAAAACTATGTTATATTATTTTTAATAATATTAAAAAATATAATATAATAGAAATATTGTAATATAGTGTATTTGTATTATGTTAAAGTGTTTTTCCAATTTTATTGAAAACACTATAACAAAGTGTAAAAACATTATAATTGGACTTTAACAGGACTCAAGAATATGGATAGATGATTGATAAAGAATATATTTTAGGAAAATTAAAAAAAATCAAAACTTTGCCTTTCATTATGTACTCATCAATTTTTTTATAAATTGATAGAGGATATTTTAGTACTATCCAACTGGCAGCCACCTCTGATCACACAACTCTAGCTGGAGTCATGCATAAGTCTCAAAACAATACGAAACAACACAGTCTAACTTAGAAACAACTGCATCCTAAAGCGATACCACCCGGCTCAGAAGTGATACAAAGTAGAATCCACACTGCTCAAATTACACGAAGCAACACCCTAAAGTGAGGAGATAACACCGCACAGTACGGGATCAAAATAGTCATGCTAGAATAGATGAACTGCCTGCTTGAAATATCAATGGATGCTAATAACCTACAGATGGTCGATCCCTAGAGAAGTATAAAAATTATCCCCAAGCAAACACCAAGGGAGGCTCTTTATATACTAACTTAGTCATACAGCTTATATTGCTATCTTCTCCCCTTCGCTAACGTAAGCATCGGAGGGGCTATATCGAGCAGCCCTCGGCGCGAACCTATCATGCAGGATCATTGATCATCCAAAGATACCTAGATGACCCTACCCCTAGGGAGGAACCTTGTAACCAGGTGCTAGTCATATGTGTCCTACAAGCCAATCACGTGAGTGATGTATATATGACACATTACGTAGTCTTTTTTACTTATTATTATTATTATTGGCATATTCTCACTTTGTATTGCCTATTGTATATATTATGATTTCCTTGATTTATGCAACAAGAATTGGATCATGATGAAATCATGATACTGAGACTATTTCTCCTATAAACGTAGACCCTAAATATTCTCAATCATAAGTTACTCAAAAGGGACATCGAGATAACTAGATAGACCGATATACTGTATACCCCTCCATATGATTGGAGGCGGTTGATATCATAGTTGCTTGTGTAGCTAGGGATATAGTGTAGGTGCTCATTGGAGAATAAGTTCACTGAATGAACCTTTCATAGAATGCTGGATGATTGATGATACCTCATTGTTAGACAATGATTCTGCGATCTCAATTATGTGCTTAGTCTTTAGACTTGAGACACTAAGAATATCTTGTATAAGTACTTCACTTTTTGATATCAAACTTATAAGTCTGAATGCTCCAGATCTAGCACAAGAAGTCATTGGGAATGATAGCCAACCATATAAGGATAATTAAGTATCGGTAGAGGATCATCTACTCTTGGTATCATGAGAGGAATATCCTATATATTTTCACTCGGACAAATCCCTAGCTAGAGTCATTCGAATTGAGAGAGAAATGAGTTCTCCGAGAGAATCCGATTAGAGCGAGACTTGAGTGGATTCCATATGGACCTACCAGAACCATACCCGATATATGGTTTTTGGGATAGTAGATGAATAAGAAACTATAGATATATGATAACTAAGGATAAATAGGTCCAATGGATTAGATTTCCTGTATTATTTAGGGACTATAGCGTAGTGGCCTAGTATATTAGATAGAGATCCTATAGATGAGATCCAATAAGAGATTATTAGATAGAGATCCGCTAATCTAGGAGGCTTGGGTAATTGGATAGATATCCAACACCTAGTAGGGTAGGATCCATTAGTGTTAAGTGGTAGGAACTTCTATAAATAGGAGGGGCCAACAGGTGGCATAGGCTAGTCTCCTCTTAGCAGCCCCTCATATTTTCCTCCCTCTCCTCTCCCTCTCAACCGATAGCCACAGTTTGGGGCATGTGGATAGCAAGAAGGGTCAATGCCTTCTTGAAGATAGTGTAACTTTCATAGTATGCATGGAGAGGAAGATTGTGTTGCGATTTCAGAAGCGTCATCATTGCATCTATCATGTGGATCACTACTAGAGAAAAGGATAGTTGCCCTCGTTCATCTTCTCCTATAGATCTGAGATTTCTTAGGGATATATGATCTCCCTAGGTAATATATCTCATATGATATGCATAGTTTTTTAGTTTTACATTTTTATGCACCAATCATTGCATGACAACAAACATTTTTTTCTTTAGGAAACTTGGGTTTTTATTTTTTATTCTTCTACCACACATGTGATGCTCTAATAAGATTTTTCAACAGTGGTATCAGAGCCAAGTTGGTTCGTGCGACGATTGGTTTTTGAACTATGTGTTGATAAATTATGTAGAATAGTTTTATGCATTATTGCTGTGATTTTTGTCATAGTTTTCAGATCTAGATAGCACCCTTTCTCACCATTGAGAGGTGTTTTAGAGAGGCCTTTTAATATACGTAAAAGAAAAAGAAAGGGCAGCAATTGTTGTTGCCCTATGGATCAACCAAAAGCTGCTTTGTAGCCTTGGCAGAGAGCTATAGAAGAGGCTCTTAGCCTGGCCACTTGTAGCAAACTGAGAGCAACCATGCTACTCTCAGCCAAGCAGCAATACCCCATGCGGCCAAGGAGTCCTGGTTGCATAGGGAACCCCTGGTGGCTAGAGTTTCCTAGCCACCTAGGTGACCCTATGTTCAGGGATTCCTGGCCACATTGTCATGAACGATCATCACACATCCGCAACAACTTTGTTCAATGAACTGTTCATCACTTTTGCATGCTTGTGCAGAGACATGATAGCATATTTTGCTTTAGTTTTATATGTTTTTGCTTGAAAAATGTAAGCAACGATAGTTCAAAGTGTTGTAGTGCGATCACTCATCGCGCTTGGCCGAACTACCCCAAAATGGCTCCGTTTTTCATGTCATGACTTGTTTTCAACACGCCGTAGCTACGCCGCACCCTGGAACCCCCTGGGTGGCACAGGGCTAGCTGGGGCTTTGGTATATTATTGAGCGTTGAACAATCTTCATAAGTTCGCAGGTTTACATGACGGAACTTGCCTTCGCGCCCGGCACCCAGTGAGCAATTGTTTGTGAACTTGCAACTGCTTATTCTACCTTCTAAAGTCCTTGTTTTCCTCCTTCCTCTATTTTCTCTTATGTATGCAAGGTGCTTGCTGAATTACTTGTAAAGCTTCCCTTTTTCGTGAGACGCCGGGACTTATCTACCGCTCATTTTTTGAACTAATCAACTTTTTCTTTTATAGGTCCTTTGGGACTTGAGTGAGGTTGCAAATTGGCTGACCCTTTACAGATGCATATCATAAGAGTGCGTCCTAACTTAGGCAATCCAGGTAAGTTCGAGGAGTTGGTGCAAGGGTGCTTCGCGACTTAGGCAACTTAAGCTAAGTTCGCAACTTTGCCGCAAGGGTGCCTTATGACTTAAGCAATTTCAACTAAATCCATGACATTGTAGTCTTAGAGCAGGCAAGCAATTCGAGCAAGCAGTGAAAAAACTTCACAATCTCGCTATGGCAAAGCATCATAGTGAATCGAGTAAGACGGGGCAAGCCGAAACATTACCCCAAGCAGCCACAA